GGGGGATATCGGACAGTAAAAAAGTTTTCGACAAGCTAAATATTTTTCGAAAACTGAAAGAAAGTTATTATTTCGAACTGTTTTACTAATAAAAAATCAAGGAAAAATTGGATTGTACCCATGTGTAATTGTGATTGAATGGCTAATGTCTTATCTTAACACAAGAAATACTTTTTTAAACTAATTCATGCATTTTTCATTGGGAAACATTTTAATTGTAAGGATATTAAAGTTTGGAATTGTATTTGCTTCCACATCAACACTCAAAGACATTGTTAAAATACACTAGAAATTTAACGCATTTTATTAAGTCGCTGCTGCACGAGTTTGCGTGACTTATGTTAATGTTGAGTGATTCACTAAATTCTATTATATCAGAGACGTATCATGTTTTCGAAGTATTTTCAAAAACCTCACTTTTTCCTCCAGTTTTTATGTGCAATACAAAAATCTGTAATTACTTCGGTCATCGAGAGATTTAACTGTCAGAAAAAAAGACTAAACGGGATTATTTTTTATTCAACAAAACACTTAGAATGTGATGGGATAATAAGTAATTGACATAATTTACACAAGGACACAGAGGGAAGAAGAACCATTTTGTAAATTATCAGTTTGTGATGACGGTCGTGTGATTTACGTTTGTTGTTTAACAAGAGTATATTACTGCATATTATACTTGGAAAACACACAATACACTAGAAAACGTTTGTTATTATTGTACTTTGTAAAGAGTGTGTGCCCACTGTGATTCCTTTGTTTGTCTGCTATTCATGTAATTTTCCATTTGGATGACCTTTGTCCTTCAACCTATGATTGAAATATCAAATAAGCCCTGGGGATCCATAACAAACGCATATACATTTTGAAGGGATAGCTCCATAAATCTGAGGTCCGTATTTCATCATTTCTGCTGTGCTGCTGCGTATTGAAACGAATGCGAGTCAAAAAGAATCATAGCGACGTCAAGGCATATTATTTATAATTGGGTTATGAGTCATAGATTTGAGTTTTCGTTGATGACATTTTTTGAGTTATGGAATTAAATTATTCTTGTAATTGACTAAGAAATCATGCCTTAAATAGTTCGCTGTGAAACTTTACGAAACGAATTTCTGTTAATTCTTTAAATATGAAGTGTTTTATTGTAATTGCAAAGCAAAGTCTAATTTGCTGTAATTGCAAACATTAGAATAATCGAGTCTTCATGCAAAAGCTGTATACATTTTACAAATCCTTCGCAGAAAAAATATAAGTTGCCTGGTTTATTATTTGAGACACTTATTTCTTAGGAAGTTGCAATAGAAATGAGAAATTGATCGTTCGGAGATAGGAATGAGGAATGCGTCTGACAGGAGTGGTGTCAAAGTAGTAGAAATGAGACTGAACGGTTTAAAAGTCAAGCAAAAATTGTGGATATATAAGAGGGTATACGAACTGGCCGAAAATTACTAATGGACAAATTGAGGGCCTTTGTACCGTATGTAGTTTGCCAACTAAATGTTCAAACATTTTCCGGCTAGTGAATTTTAATTCGTAGATTGATGCATTGAGCGAATGCAGCGTTTGTGCATGTTTACGTTCGATTACTTGTGCACTTTGTGGAAGCGAGTGACGGACGGGGTCGTCTATGTTTCAGAGCTCGATGGCGGGGGCGGCGCGTATCGAGCGGGCGATTTCGGCTTCCGCGTGCCCTCTCCGGAAGAGACGCCGCCGCGGCCGCGCCCCGACGCCGTGCAGGGGGCTCTGGAGCAGGCGCCGCCTCCCCCCGCGGCGCTCCCGGCCGCGCGCGAGGCCGACGAGGAGGCGTGGCGCCTGCGGCTGAACTTCCGCCAGGCGCAGCCGCCGGCGCGCCGCCGCCGCAGCAGGCAGCAGGCGGCAGTGGCGTCGGCGCCCACGCCGGCCCAGCAGGAGGCGCCGCCGCCCGACACGAGAAGAAGGCGAGCCAGGAGGCGGCGTCGAGCGTCGAAGCCGAGGCGGAGGCGGCGGCGCGGGCGGCGGCGCAGGCGGCGGCGGCGGCGGCGGCCCCGCAGGCGGAATGGCCGCCCCGCCCGTGGCCGAGCTGCGCGGCGGCGGGGGCGCGCGCGCAGCCGGCGCCGGGCAGGTGCGCCCCGCCGCCGTCGCCAACCCGTTCGAGGACGAGGACGAGGAGGAGGCCGAGGGCCCCGCCGCCGAAGTGCTGGTGCCGCAGGCCTCCAAGCCCCAACGCAGCAGCGCCGTGCAGCAGAAGCCCGTCCTCCTGCCCCCGGACAACTCCGACCTCTACTTCATCGGTACGCGCCTCCGCGCCCGCGCCTGCCTCACTCTTCTCGCGCTCGCTAGCGCTTCACATGCTTCACACAAACGCAGAATAAACACTAGCAGTGCGTATGTTATAAAGTGTTGCTGAAAGGGAAAACACTGTATGTATGGGTCGTATGTCACATCGATGCTCTTGTTCAACACTTCAGTAAAAATTATAATTTTCGAAATGAACCATATAATAATGATGATATTTGTGATATTTTCAAATAATTGATATTCATTTAGCGAATTAGGATATGCGAATTTTAAAGCACCTTCGTGATAAGGGCTTTGGTGTCCACAAATCTATTTCAACGTTGAGATTAGGTGTAAGAACTAATATTTCTAACAGCTATAAGAAGATTTGCTACAATCCAGTAATTATTATTGGATCTCGTCGTTGTCAATTCTTCGACATTTATAATACTCTTGTTATTACTCTTGATGAAGCTACGGTCGCTAAGATAAGCATTGTTTTTAAATGTCTAGGCAGTTCTTATTTAGAAAGAATCACATTTGTTTACATTAAATTCTTTATTACCAACGTCTATCTGTTAGTAAATCTTAAAAGCCGTTTTACTCCATTTCGAAGGTGTAGCTCAGCAGGTTGATTTTTAGTCATGTAACACCTCGGTTGAATTCCCGCCGGTTCTCTTTCTTTCGCCAGTACTAATTAATAAATAATCATAATGTTGTGTTGATTGTGATTATTGAAGTGTATTTTAATTTAATTTTTTATTTTTAGTAGATTGAGCATTTCAATAACTATCAGCGATTGAATCTTCTTTAACTACGTTACTTAGGCAGGTGCCACTTTATACATTTCCAGTAATTCTTATCTAGGTCAATAAAAATGAAACATCAACATTCCATAATGTTCCAAGCGAACGGTGGAGAATCAATGAATCAGGTTTCTTTTCTTTCGTTGTTGGAATTGAAGTACTAAATTCTATCTCGCCTTAGCTTCTTTCTATTTCTCCTAATTTCTACCTATATTGGCTGGATTCCCATTAAATGAAGCAGGTGATTGATAGTAGCAAGGGGAGGGGAGCGTCGTTGCGAGGTTGCGTATCAATGAGCCCGTGGGACACGAAAATAAACCCTTCAAATAAATATGTATAACAGTAACCAAATCATATACTCGCATTGTATGAAGCAGAAGCTTGTTTTGGAACGACTACTCATTACTTCTTCACTAATTTTAGTAAATGTTACGGACTACTTTTCATTACAACGCTTATTTACACTTAATTACACCAATTTATTTTGCGACGAGTGAGTCACTAGTCTGAGGAAGCATGCGACATGTCAGGCGAAACGTCGGCCGACGCAGCCTTTCCCGGATAGCCAGGAATTTATGGATACGAGCTGCGGAATGAGCGGAGTGTGCAAATAGACATCTCATATCTAAGTCACTCACTTGCTATGACTGTAGGACTACCACTTGAGCTGCCTTGATCTCTAATTTATCTCACCCTCCCAGCTTAGATAAGCTCTTAAACGACGTTTTCTATCACGACGTCTTTCTCCCAAGAATCTGTAATCACGTTTTGATCCGTTCAACGACTTTTCGACATTTTATCACTGCTGAATTGGTTACTCATTCACCGGGAGGGATGGCCCAGCAACTGATGTCACTGCAGTCCCTCTGAACGGGAGGTCGTAGGTTTGAGTCCCGTCGGTGGCAGGATTTTCTACACTAGCTTGTCAGGTAGGAGGTCTGGAGGAGAATTCTAGCGGCCTGCTGCTTTGAACGGTGGTTTTCTGTGGTTTCTCCGATCATCAAGTGAATGCCGGAGCACCACTCTAACAAACGGGTGACGGTCCGCGCGCAATCTCATCTTCCTCTTCCTTGTCCTATCCTCACCCCTTACACACACACACACTAACATGCACTACACTTCACTACCACACATGCCGGGAGTCCCGTCAGAAGCTAAGACCTAGCCCCGCTGGTGGGAGATACCTGGTTGGGAACACCCCTTTCGCCGACGGTAGGTCGGCGTCGGATCTCACCATCCAGAAGGAAAACTGCACCGCCACCTTCCGCGGTAAACGTACACTACATTTGCCTACCATTACCACCTACCATTAACCCTGGTAGTTGATGTGTCCGGAATCACTAAACAATCAGGACCAGTCAGTGCCCAACACAGGCAGTGAATGGAAAGGTTGCCGAGAGGGCAAACTGGTTTCTGGCTGGACCCAGATATCGGCCCGTTGTCGTACATGTGCAGTGGCGGGGATGGGGGTGCGAGGATAAAAGCGAAAATATTAGGAGCCCCGATAGAACATGAATTGTTGTGGAGCTGTACCCACACTAGGAATTCGCATTGCGTGACCATCCCTTATGGCAACTTTCTACCATATCTATCTCCACAACTGAACTCGACGACGTGTCTACGATCTCCCCCTGGTTCTGGCAATAAAACTTTTTTATGTAATCGTTTACTGTCCGATTATCTTTTCGGCGATCGTCATTATATCAAACAACCAAGTTTTTCAAATTGCTAAAATCTTATTGTTCCTTTCATACATTAATTTATACGAAGACATATTTCATTATCACTACAGTCATTTATTAAAATTTAAGTCATTAATAAAACATGGTTCATCTCAATATTAACGCAATAGTCTCATTGTATTAATAGCCTCATTGTCAAAATACCATGTTATGAATGGCCAAATATATGTCCCTTACAAAAAATGATACATCAAACTCCCTCGTCAGCATATTGAATCCTCCCAAAAAATGTTTACATCATTTACAAGGTTGTGACTACGAAGTCTTAGGAAATCGAGTATAATGGGTAATTACGTCTAAAGAAAGAGGTCTAATTTATTTTTTATCTAATTAGTACATACATTTAATAATCTATGACTGAGAATTTTGTGTACAACATTTATGTAAGTCTAAGAACTAGAAAAAGGGAACGAAAAACAAATATTTGAACAATTTTTTCTTTGTTTCTTTGCTTCTTATTTGCCATATTTCCGCAGAAACTATTGAAATATCGTGCGGAAGTAGAACTTTCGTCAATGCGTACTATGCATTCTAAAATGATAATCAACATTGTCAAATAACATAACATTTCCTCTTAAATTTAAATGTAAAATTTATTATTCGGAAATTATAATTATTAATGAGTAGATATCACAGAAACATTCCCATTAACGACAATTAGTGAATTGACATTAACTTCTGGACCTACTTTTCTTCCGTAAACATTGCAACAGAAGTCTTAAAATAAAGCTCATTTTAAGAGAATTGGTAATGGATTTGTGTACTTTTTTGTGAAATGTCCTGTGTAAATGACTTTTGGACACTAATCTATTTAAACTTCACTTTAGATTATTGTTGTATTTTACCTGCTATCTTTAGACTTTCTGGCTTTATACATAGAGACTCGAGATATGAAGTGCAAGAGGGCATAAATAAAGGCAATAACAAAGCTATCTCGTTGTGAAAGAGCCCATGAGTAATACGAACGTTATTTGAAAATAAGGTAATCTGTTAGGAACTTTAAAAGATTTACTTCATCTTCATTTTGAATATTGTATTTCAAATTGACACAATTACTGGCATTTAGAATTCAGGTATCCAACAATTATAGTAGGTCTCAGTTTGCCTTTTCATGTTTGATGGCTATTTTGTTTCATAGTTAAGATAATCTCAGGTAAAGAGCTATAAATAAATAAAAATATTTTTTGAACAAGAACATAAAATGTAATAAACGACACATTCAGCTATTCCCCAAATGTTAATGATTTTGAAATGCACTAAACCATTATCAATTTCTCTCATATGTGTGTGCACAAACGATGGAAGTGAAACTTTTGAAATGAGGACTCAGCCTTAGGAAATAAAACATTTAATTCTCTTAAATCTTCTAATGTTTCCCTTTTCTTAACCTAACAATTCCGGAAATTGTTATACATTGGCAATGGCGGTTTTTGGGAATGGGCTGCAGCATGGCTTACTCTTCTTCCTTAGAAGTCGAAATATTTAATTGCTCTTTGATATTAAAACAAAATATGCGAAATAGTATTTCATTCAATTACATAACCAATATAGCCCACTGTTGTCGCGCATTTCCCTCCTTGGGACTGTCAGCACCTACTGCTTGCAGCGAAGTATGGCCCTAGTCGATATCTCTTCTCCCGCTGTTTACGTTTGTATGATATATTGGAACTCAAGGGGCTGCACGAAAGGCAGTCCTTTCCTCAGTTTTGCGTGACATTAACATTATTGTTAAAGCTCTAGCGCACGTCCGATATAGTTCAGGTGATGTATAATGCATTTTTCTGCTGCGTGTGATAACGATGAATTTTCGGCAGAGAAACTCTTATTAAAGGTCCCTGGTAACGAAAAAGTGGATAAATCCAGTTGCTCAATTCCTCTACTCTAACATGTGGTGTAGCCAGAACCTTGTTTTGTGGGTCCTGGAAACCGGAAAATTCAATAACAGCAATACGCGTCTGCCCGTCTGTAAACAGCGCAAACGGCTAGACCGTTCTGGCGATTTTCTCCAAAATTAATATTCCTAGCGAGCTAGGGGATGTCGCGAACCTCTGGAATTTGAAACCTATATTTTAATTTTTGGAGATACTTCGCATGAAGACAGAAGGTAGACCTACACCGGTACTGAACATATCTCAATTCTTTTTCTATTTTTGCATGCAACCCCCCCCCCCCATTAATTAAAGGTACCAGTTGTCAGTGTACATTGGGAAAGAACCTTTGCTAGTCATCAGACACTGTGTAAATAGTTTAAAATAAATAAATTGGATCTATTCATTGTATAATTAAAGTTATAATTCCATTCGCCTTCAAGTATGTTTTATTTATTCACTAGTAATTCATGCCATTTGTAATTAAAAAAGTTCAATAGAAAAGGGGGCTGAGGACGTAGGTGCCCCTCTTGTTTTAGACTGCGCACGCCTGTGGTTCCTATTACTCATATTTACTCCGTCAGTACACTTGCGTGTG